GCTATTCTTACATAAAGCTTCAAGTGCCAACACCAACATTTCTGCCAAGATGATCCTTCATTTCTTCTTACTTGTCTTGCGAATATGAAAGATTTTCTGTATCTTTCCTCACCTAAGATTAAAGTTCATTATATTTGAAGGCCGAAGTTCCATCTAGGAATGAACAAAGAAATATTTCATGTAGAAAATGGAAGTCCTCCTCATTTTTCCATTTCACTGTTGTTTAACCATCAGCAAAAGTTTCTAACCAAGAGGGGATTCAGCAAAAATAAGTGCAATTCGGATCTTTTGGTACCTCATTTTCCGACAGACAGCTGGTGGTAGAAGAAAGGCCTTCAGTCCAAACAAGTCTGGTTTATAACATGAACAAGAAAGTTAAATTTTTTCTACCCTGGTAACATAAACAAGCCCTTACAATAGCATTGAAGAGTCACGTATCTTATTTACATTGTATTCGAATAGTACTTAATTTAACTATCAGTTCCAACGCCACAAGCCCACTTTAAAAAACATGTAACTATGTTCCAAAACAAGGAAATTTCCTTACAGTGAATTGAAAAAGAAAAATGAAAGAAGAGAAGGTCATAGATATATGTAAAATTAATGAACAAAATGTAACAAACGAATAAATACTTATGAACAAGATACAACTCTTGCAGACCCACCGAATGCGATCTTTCCAACTTAATACAGACAAATTAGCAATGGGATTTTGGAGGTTTCTTCAATCTTAGTCCATCAAAGGGTCCTCATTACTACTAGATGATTTATTTCATATGCTTATTTGGGTTCTGTACTAATAGGCTTCATGACACCTCCAATATCCCCCCAAGACGGCATCTATCAATCATGGACAAACTTCCAGGCTGAAGCAAATACTATTGGAGTTCCTTTCCATTTAATAGTAAGGCAATTTCCATCCATATCCAGAGTGCAAAAGCCATGAGCAGATCGATCGACTATTAGATTTGCTTGGTACAAGGATAATTCACTCAATTCTGTTTCCTTAATACCAAAATTTTCAAACAAAGCCCTCCATACTTCCAGCCTGACGTTGTGGAAGATCCTTCCTTCTCCTTCACAAGTGATCACATTGTGAATGATTTTTCTAAGAACCAGTCTTTCAAATTCCATCCTGTGCTGATTGTCTCGGCCCATGAATGTCTCCAAACAATCAAAGAGTGTAGCATACAGAAACACTGATTCATTAAATTGATCCATAAATATTGGCTCGTTAATGTTTGCCTCAGTTTCGATGACTATTATCACACAAGTATTGAGGCTTTCAATGAATCTTAGAACAACTTCAAGGTGATTAGGCCATGTTAACATGCCTCCAAGAACATACTCTGAGTAAACTACCACAACTTCATTAGTATCTAACTCAAAGAGATTTTTACTCAGGTCCTTCATTTCTGACACCACTGCATTAAAGAAAAAGGGACACTTCATGTTTTTCAGCAGCAAAAGATGACAATCTTTTCCCTGTTTGATCAACCATTTGTTTATATGTTCCAATAGGGGTTATCTTGAGAAGCTCAAGTGGACAATCACCTCGATTCGCAAGAGCTTGCATAAGGATTATCCAATGAGCTCCACTTCTGATTCCAAAACCAATCAAATGAAGTCGTCTTTCTGACTTAAAATTATTCAAAATGGCTTCAATACAAGCAAATTGAGCGACTTGGTAAAAAGGAAGTGCGTGATAACATGCAATTACATGAGGCTTTGTACACAAGGAAATCTCTTCAACGCCAATTGGTTTTCACTTCAAAATCTACAAGTCTATCTAGTTGTAATCCTGTTATCGATTTTGTCTCCTTATTGATTCTCTCTCGCAGAGCTTCACTATAGCAGTAAACTACTCTTTGATCCGGAGTACCTGTTGGAGAAGCAGACAGATTACACAAGCTTAGTAACTCCGTTGCACGTTCATAGTGTCTCTTGGAAAACATTTCAGCAGAAGCTTGAAGTAGAAGAGCGAGCTGCAAATCATATGAAACTTCAAGAGACAGATCACTATGTCAATTAAGGGGTTGAGAAGCAATGGAAGGATCATCCTCTTTCTTCGACGTGTGGTCAAGTATTTGTGCTTGTGCCATTTCAAATACTTCCACTGTCAATAGGACATGAGATTCAGAACTAAAACTGCATAGTAAACCAGAGTGTTTCCCTTTCAGATTTCTTCTAATGCAACACTTGTGCAAAATTTGGGATGATTCTGAAGGTATGCAAGAATGGGACTTTTTTATTTGATCATTGCCTTTCATTGTGGTGTTTGCAAGACTAGAATTCATTGCTACATAAGAATGAGATCATTTTATTCAAGTACCAGAGACTTCTTCTCTGTTCATTAAGGTAGCATAGAATACAAAAAGACAGCACAAGTTTTATTCTTTAGATTCTGATTTGCCAGCAGCCGGCCACAAGCAGAACAAGGCAGGAATCTTGCAGTTATGGTGGAGCTGCAAACAAAATTTACCCATAAAAGCAAAATAATTACACACACATATCTCCTTGAATTTATATTCCACTAATAATTACACTATATACCCCATAATTACACTATATACCCCCTACCTAATTTCGATTAACCGATACAAAATTAGTATTATATATTGTACTAATATCATTAAGGCTGATAATTTTACTTAATTGATACTAAATCACTAGATATATACAATATGGTATTATTAAGGTTTCTTATTGAGAAATTACTTAGGCATAATACATAAATGTGTCCTTTAACTTGGCCTTATTTCACATTTATGCCCTTCAACTTTGAGTATGCACAAGTAAACACTTAAACTTGCATAAAGTTGAACAAATCGACACACATGTTCTACATGTCAGTTTTTATCCTACGTGGCATCCTAGATGTATTGTGTCACTTAGGACTCATGAGTCTACTTGTTCAAGTTTACACAATTTTAAATGTCTACTTGTGCACACTTAAATGTGATTTGAAATCAAGTTAAATGACATATTTATGTTTTATGTCAATTATTAATTAGTGAATGATACTATAGAAGTATATAATATACACTCGTATAGTATAATTAACTAATGAGTAATTTTTGAACAAGCAACTTTAATGATATCATAATATATATATATATATATATATATATATATATATATATATATATATATATATATATATATATATATATATCATTAGTTTAAACAAGAAACGAGAAATTTTAATGATACCACAATAATATACAGTTACTCTGTCCATATCATTGATTAATGAGTAAAATCTGAACGCAAAATCTTAATAATACAAAAACAGTATATATGATATTGATTCGTTACAAAATTTGTACCGTAATGATGTAACAAAAGGACAAAAGGATTGATATGCTTGATATATATTTATCTGATATTGATTCGTTACAAAATTTGTACCGTAATGATGTAACAAAAGGACAAAAGGATTGATATGCTTGATATATATTTATCAGTTATCATACCAATAATAGAGGAACAATAGATGACACAACTAGGTCGGCTCAACAAGAGCGGGGTCTTAGCGGAGTCAAAAATTTGTTAAAGAATATCTAGAAATAGTAACTTATTATGTTAAGGATGTCTAAAACATATTATTCATTTTCCGTATTATTTAACTTATGTATATGCTATTTTTTTCGAAAAGGGTGTTCAATTGACACCCTTCCCTCTATGTGGCTACGTCACTAGGCCTAGAAGCAAAACTTTAAAGAGTGACCCTAATATTATTACTTTTAAAAAGGATCAATATATATCCTTTTATTTAATTGAGGTCTTTTAAAAGTTAAAGTCTTTAATTACTCTTTTGTAATTGATTTATTTTAATAATTCTTATTTCAATTAATAATATAGTTAATTCATTCAATCTTTGGAGATATTATAATTGATCTAAGATAAAATTTTATCAATTTTAGTTTCGAAAAATTTATTCGAATAAGGCAACAATAATTTAAAACTATTATCATAATTCTATAAGAAATAAATGTATTTTAAAAAGAATCAAGTCTTATTGGCCAATTCTTGACTATTAATCCCTCCATCCGGTATTGTTGTCATGTTGCATTTTAAAAGTCAATTTGATTAATTTTCAATATTAAATTAGATCACATTAATTTGATATTTTAAACAAAAAAATTAGATATTCTAAAACTATATGAAAAGTACTATAAATTTACAATTTTTTGCATATTAATATGATGAAAAACTACATCTTAGAATGTTGATCAAAGTTTTTATAGTTTGACTCTAAATATAGAAACTATGACAAATAATACCGAATGCAGGGAGTATTTGATATCCAGACTTTTATAATCCATAATTAGCCCTTTGAGCCTATTAAGCTTGAAATTATAAAGACTTGAGCTTTCACTCAAGATATCATTCTTCAAATATCAAGCTAAGAACTTGAAATTTGTTATTTTTTTCTTTTGCTCTTCTATTCATTGTCTTCATCCTTATCTTTTATATTTTGTTGGTGGATTGTTGTTTCAATATTGTGACATATATATTAAGGAGAGGACTAATTTGCTATAGACCCAAAATCAAGTCAATCATATGAGCTCATCTAAAAAAAAAATTAAAATTAATAGGATCTAAAATACTCTCAAACTATGAGAGTTGGTACAATATTGTTCTCCATCCACTTTATAAGTGTGGAACATTAGAAATAAGGTTCTTTTTTAGCCAAAAGTTTGATGTTAAGGGTATTTGGGGGCCGAAAGGTTGATGAATGATAGTTTTATATCAATTCAAATAGTTTAAGAGCATTTTAGGCCCTCTCTGTATATGATATGCGAAAGTTTTTGGTGGAAATTAGATAAAGACAAATTTGTTTATATATGCGTAAAATTTTAAATTCCCTTAAGATAAGAAAAATACATATTCATATCCTAAATGTGACATTTTTTGGATTTTCTTTTTAATCCAAGATTCTTAGCTCTGTCACAATCTATATTCAGTCCTTTTCCCTCCTACTTCTGCAAAAGAGATTGTTTCTACATGTTTCTCACTAATCACAATTAAGTAAAAAACATGACATAAGTAAAATGTAAAATACATTAGGAGAGGTGATTAAGGATCACTTACACTGTGTAATGATCCTACTCATCCATCTACACTGATCACTTACACTGTGTAATGATCCTACTCATCCATCTACACTAATATCTAATTAGTTTAGTAAATAATAAAGAATTAATGGTAAAAATATATCTAAATTATCAAGTTTTATGGGATATTCATAACCCCAACAATATTCATTGTTCCATATTTGTCCTGCTTGCGATTGTTGTAAAGTAAGCAATACATATTTGTCCAACTCAACATTGAGTGTGTTTTAATATAAATGAAGTGATAGAGTTTAGATTGATAAATAGAAGAATAGATAGTTGAGATATGAAACTAGTAAAGAGGTAATAACTTATGTGTGTTTTTGAACGTTAACACGATAGGTAATTGTCTAGTCTAATTCCCGAGTTGTGAACCAATGGCTAGGCAATTACTTGTCAATTTAGTCATCTTGTCACTATAACCAGACATTGGAGTAACGATACCTTCAAAGGCATCTTGACAATCAGAGATATCAGTAATTGCAGCACTGAGCATGGAGTTCATACGTCCACTATCATGAGTACGCAGAGCCTCTAAAGCTTCTTCATAATTGTACAACACAGTGTCCCAACTATCAAGGCATGTTTTGAGCAGTTTCTTAGTTCTAGGTGGAGTAATAGGGGATTCTGAAGCTCTTTTAAACGCTGCAAATCCCAATTTGGCAAACGCATCGCTCTGTTTCATGGCCACTTGGAGAACATTTTGTACGTTGATGATACCTCCGCGCATGAATGGGGCAACAGTTGTGGTGCAAACGTCAGGGTAGTCAGTGTTGTCACATATCTTCTTTATGATATTATTCGTCTCAGCATTCCCACCATCGTCTTTTTGTGTATTGGTGGGAATAATAGTAGATGGGAAGTCAGAAATTTTATCAAGAGGGATGATAGACGGAAATTGTGATTGTGATTGTGCATTTTCATTTTCATTTTCATTTTCATATCCAGGAGGGTATGCAGAATGACTTGTTGGTGGATTTGCATTTTGTTTTGAAGATGGTTGCATGTTTGGTGCATTATTTGGGAATGAGTATATATTATCATTATTAATAGATTGGGCTAAAGTGAGGGTGAATAGAAAGAAGAAAGAAAGGAATAAATATTCCATGTTTTATTTTATTCAAAGTTTATGAACCAAATTGTAAAAGGGAGGAATGAATAGAAAGGAAAAGAAAGAGTAGGATGAACAATTAGTTAAGGGAGAGAGGAGAGTTAGAATTACCATAGAAAATTTGTTGACATGAATGAAAATAGGAGAACCTTTAAGTTGTTAACAAATTAATGGAACTAGTGGTATATCTATATTGTCGGAACTCTCTACGTAATCTTATCGTATATCTTAGTTTATCTTTAGCTAATATCCACGGATGATGTAAGATATTTTCTACACCATCAAGTAATTTAAACCTATCGTAGATAAATACTTTACTTTTTCAATATTTAAGTTTTTAATAAAATAAATTATTGTAGAAAATAACTTAGACGGTACAATCTATATTTATTATTCAACCTAAATTATGAACTTGTTTACCAAAAATACAAGAATTTCATTTTCTTGGTTTCTTCATGCATATTTTATTTCATCAACGTCACTCAAGTAATGAACAACACATATACACCGTTGAAATAATCCAAGCTATATTACACGTGGAAACTTTTATGTATTTAAGTTTTTTTATTAAAAAGAAAAAATTAGAGATGTATTTTTTTTTTTGCTTAATCTTTTGTTATCAACTCTAACTAACAAAAAATGAAGAGTATATCACATCCTTTTTCCATCACATAATTATTATATTACATAATTGCTATCCTAAGGATTATACTAAATGTTTGTTCATCTTGTTTGTCGCAACTCTTCATTTTTCATTCACACCTTTTTAAAACCCAACAACTAATTCCAATTATCAAATGATTTTTCAAACAAAACGGAAGAACTCTTCGGTAACACAAAAAGGTGGGAGAGATTTAAGGACCTCAGAAGATTACCGATAGTCGGTAGATTAACCTGTAAACTTTTATAAAGTAATGGTTTTATTGATCAGTGCAGAAGGAACTTCAAGCTGGGTCAGCCAGACCTAAGTAGGCATGAAGGTGGATTGTAGCAAGCAGTTTTATAACATCTTAACATATGAAAATGCAACCTATTGCAGCAGCAGTAAGCATTGACAGTTGAATCTAGCAAGCACTTAATGATGAAGCCAGATTGAAGGAGTTCGAAAAAAGTTTATTTACTGCAGCAATCCATAGTGACAGGAATTACAGAGGTTCAACATGATGGTACACAATACACACATCAACATGTTCAATGTTCACGATAAGATAGAAGTTTAATCCGACACCAAGCTTAGTAAAAAACAGAAGCGACTAATTTAACATAAAAGCCTTTAGCTTTTTGCCAGTTAAGGAGTTCCGCACATTGTAAAATTAGTCTTCTGCATTCTTCACAACAGTAACAGGGCACGTAGCATTATTCACCACATAGTTGCTTACACTGCCCATAATAACCCTGTAAAGATGCAAAAGGAGGAAGAACTATAAGTTAGACTATTCCCTTTATTTCGAGCAGACGTAGTAATGAAAATTGCTAAATGATTATGAGATATTTATGAAATTTCACTCGAGTAATATCTGCAGACAGATTCAAAGTTCACTCATGCTACGTAAATACACATCGAATCTAGTAGCTTTGTCAAGGAATAAATGCAACCAAAGCTTCAGTTCTCCGCAATAGTTGCAAAAGAAAAAACAGCGAAGTAACTGATAGGAAATTTGATATACAACAGGATATTCAATTGCAAAAGGAATTCTAGAAAAAGATCAGACCTCTTGATCTTTCCAAGCCCTCTGTTCCCTATGACCAGACAGCTCAAGGGAGTTTTATCAATTGCTTCACATAACTTCTCTCGAGCATCTCCCCAGAAAATTTTCATGACTACTGTGATCTGCTAATAAAGAGTAATCTCGTAAGAATACTTGATCTAGTATGCTTCCTGAGAAAAACTGGATCTCATAAAAGAAGAGAAAATATCACCTCCATCTGCCTAGCTGCAAGGGTTATCATTTGCAATGTTTCAGGGTCAGGGTTAACCCCATACCTCTTCATTGTGTGGCCATCACATATCTCTGATAAAGGTATTAAAGCTGCAACAAAAAAATGAATCTCAAAAGATGTATCAGAAGATGGAATCTCACTAATCAAATATCACATATTTTACCAGTAACACAAGCCCAAGGTGACATGCTTTCACTACTACAATTCTTACAAAGCTACTACAACTCTTGCACCTAGACACATCAAAAAAGTTATTCGTAAATAAAGATGGGTGCAAGCATGAATTAGATGATTTAACACTTTGGGTGTGTTCCAATTTTCACATGTTTGGTTGGTCAAATTCCTAAGAACTCATTTTCTCTAGGAAAATAAGTTCCTCATATTCACTTTACCTCATCGCACTTATCCCCCTACCCACCTCACATAGTGTTTGTCTAGATCATATACGTACAAATGATTTTAGGATAATACTTTGCATACTGAACACCAAAAAAGAAAAAAATGAAAGTAAGAAATTCATTACTTTTCCTAGAGAAATGCATTTTCCTTCATACTGAACACACCCTTTAAGGTATATTAATATAAGTAACTGTTAAGACTTCACATCTATACATTCTCCTAATGCAATCTAGTTTCCTATCCCCTCTTACAACCAAGAAGAAATTCCCAAAATAAACACTTGTAATGTCTCTATATGACACGGATTGGGTTCTCTATGAAACTCAAAAAAACATGAGCTGCATCTTCAATCCTGATGATGAAACTCTACGTATGTAAGTCTGTTCTTTAACGAACATAAACAACTCCCCATACGTAGACGTGTATTTAACCCTTTCCATTCACCAGAGTCCGTATGTCTATGACATGTAACCAACAATGGCAAAACAAACAGATATATTTCTAGGTACTTCACCATAGAGAATTGAACCTTTAAAGCACTATGAAGTAGAACTAGTAGCTACAAAAAGCCGCCACTCAAATAGATTAAGAATATAGCAGGACACAACAAAGATTGTAATCTACTCATGGGCGGAACTAGAAGCTCATATACAGGTTCCCCAAACCAGTAGCTTCTGCTCAAACAGTGTATCTAGATTAAGAAAGTCGTTAAATATTAAATTTAGAACTCAATTATTAGCAATCAAAGTAGTCATTCTAGAACCCATAAAGTTGAAATTCTAACTCCGCCTCTTTTATCTACTTATGTATATTCATTCAGGTTGATGATATCGAATAGAAAAAGTGGCTCATAAGATATGACCTAGATGATCAATTCCTATTTCACCTAACTGCTCGCAATCCTCCTAATTTACCTAGACAGGTATACTTTGCAAAGCCCACATAGAACAAGTTTAGATGACCAATATAACAAATAATACATATATAAATGTAGAGATGATGGCATACGAGAACCAGTGGCCTCCCAGAGCTGCATCTCTCCTTCTTCATAGTGTCCTTCAGGACGAACAGTGACGAGAATAAGATGATCCCCTTTACGAAGAATATTATCAATGGCCCATTTCAGAGCTTTGTTGCTGCAAGCTGAGAAATCGACTGCTACCCCAACAAATCTACCACCTCCTTCCATACCTACAACTCCAAGATTTTTGCTTGGTTAAACAGTTTCTTGAAAAACCAATATAGTGATAGAGAGAGCAATTGGGTTCAAAATGGATTTTTTTTGATGAAGAAGAAGGAAAAGTAGTGCGATGTTGATCTGTCACTGTATTTGCTACCACATGTCAACCCACTTTTATGGCTCATCAAATTTCCACACGTCTCTGTTTTCTTTATATTCGTATTATATAAAGTTCAAACTAAATTTAAATTTAATCGATAAATTTCATCAAACACGCTTTTAAAAGGCAATTTCATACTTAAAAAGAAAACTCCAACTCTTAGTTTTCCAAAATTTATCATTCCAAATTTTCTACTTTTGAGATTTATTGATTTTCAATTTTCTTTTTTTTTTTTTTTGCACTCCATATTTTTACTAAACAGATTTATTGTGTTTTTTTTATATACATAGATTATTAGTTAATTATATACGATTAAACATATGTATATGCATACCTATTATGTCATTGGTTATTTTTAATTTAATCAATTGGTTTAGATTAGCTTTCATCTTTCTTCAAAGAAAAAAAGTTAATTTATGATAACATAAATTAACAAGTTAAAGTTTAGAGCTCGTCTGTATTGACTTGTTTCAAGTGTTTTTAAATTAAAATAATTTTTAATTACTTTTACGATAAAAATAAAAAATACTTATAAGTAATAATTGTAAAACTTAATATATCAAAAATAATCATAAATTATAATGGTTAACTTATAAACCATAAATTACCAGGCAACTGACAAAGAGAAAGAGTCCATGTTGAATTTGGAAGTCAAATATAAATATGTTATTGTCTTGTAAGAGATTTAACTCTAATTTGATTTATTTGAAGATGACTAAAAATATAAATTAAATTCTTCAGATATTGTTGTAGGTTGCAATTTGTCAAAGTAGGCGTGATAGAAAGTGACCAGAATAAATGTATAAGAAATTTCGAAGACTAATACATATTTATAACAGCTTGACTTAGACAATTCATAACAGAAGAAATTAAAAAAAAAGTCAAATTGGTACAGATTTTTCTACTGTAAAATACTAGTAGATGACTTATATGTAACTGCGCATACGCCCGAAAGCGTTAGAAAATTGTTTTTATAAATATTATTATCTTATTTATTGGATCGTATTGAATTTACTATTTTCTCCGTTCGAAATTGTTTGTCATGTTGCGTTTATCAAAAGTCAATTTAACTAATTTTCAAAGGTAAATTAGATCACATTAGATTTTTTAAACAAAAAAAAATAGATATCCTAAAACTATATGAAAAGTACTATAAATTACAAATTTTTGCATATTAATATGATGAAAAAATACATCTTAAAATGTTACTCAGTTTTTATAATTTGACTCTAAAAATAGAAACCATGACAAACAATAACAGACGGAGGGAGTGTTATTTTATATATCATTTGATTTACGACAATTTATCATTAAGTACGAAAAATTAGACTTACATAATAGATATTAATTTTTATTGGAAGAATTATACAATATAACAAATATAGGTTATGTATTTATGGT